AGGTTTAGGGTTTGGGGATTTCGGTATCATGGATTTGTGGTTTCGGGGCTTAATTACGCTTCAGTGTTAGGGGTGTACGTTTTAAGGGCACAGGGCCATGGGTGGGTCAATGTGTTCATTTAGGAAGCAGTGCAGTGGTACTCTGGTACAGATCTACCCTTTTGGGGGTCTGGGTTTTCTTTGTTCACACTACCAACAAGAACACGGGTACCCTTACTGACATAAATGGTTACACACGGGTACCCTTACTGTGATAAATGATTCCTGGGCTATAAAGTCATGCGTGCAGAGCTTCAAATGTGGTTGTTTCCTTCACTTCACCACTTCACTTCACCACTAACCGCGCCCCCACTTTACCTTGATTCCAAGCCCACTAGTTGTTGAACAATGATTCGGTTTCCGGGTTTAGGGTTTCGGGTTTTTTTGAAGCGTATAAACCTGAAACCTGCATTTCCAGGCGCGCCCCTCTTTGCGGAGCGGCTTCGGAGAATGGGACACGTTTTTGAGACGGAGGCCGGTCAGGATTCAAGTTTTTTCGAAGTTCCTCGGGGAGCAGATCCGTTCATAGTTTGGGGGGAGGGTTAGGTCAAAGGTTTAAAGGTTTGGGGTTCAGGATTTAGGGAGTGTTGGACTGTCACCATCCATGTGGTGAGATGCCGGTAGGTCGCCAAATCTTTTCGAGGCTTGTACTTCTAGGGAAGAAGCCATAATACGAGGGCCTGAATAAACACGATTATCCTGTTGAGGTCCCATTTGAGGTGCGGTGCATTTACAGGAGTATAAGTATACCAGGAATTGTGGACCATAGTTTTAGTAGTTATTCGGGCCATTAGGAACCCCCCACGAAGGAATTCCTGGCTTTTGGAACCCTCCCCCATGTCTGCGTGCAAAAGAACAGATTTTGGCCGCAGGGGTGCCCTTCGGCAAAGGTCCTCAAACTTGAGCACCGCAACTCAACATGAGCACCGCTGCACAAAATAGGGGTATATAAGGGAATGGAAGAGATAATTAAAACTAGTTTAGGGTCACTATGTACCCCCGCACCACCCGCAGCAATGGATGTTCCGCAGGGTCTATGATGGTACTATGTTGGCCGGCTGTATTTTTCGGAGGGGGGTTGTATCACTATGGGGAGGGGAGAACTCTTTGTGTTTCCATACACACCTGGAGGAAGCGCACATATAGGTTTGATGCCACGATGCCTCCAAGCCTAATCTATACCAAACTCCTGCACGGTACGCGTGTGAACTTCCCCTCTTACCTATGCATCAGTCCTCATGCCGTCTAGGGCGACCGCTTCAAAAGCTTGCTGTACGCCCCAAATGTGGCTTTCTTGTGCTTGGGGTTTTAAGGATTTGTAGACATAAGCAAAGAGATCCGCATGAGACACCAAAACGGGTGGGCATGTTTTGAAGAGTACGTGGCAAGGCCATGCAACGTGGGTGTGTTTCGAGACATTTGCGAGGTCCTTATAGTCAGGATTCTAGTGTTTTGGTGGTATATCGGTATATCGGGGGCGGGGGGGGCCCTGTTTTTGGGAAGATCCCTTCTTGGGGTGGTGTGAACCGTGAAAAATTAAACGTTGCGGGTGTAGTCGTTGGGGCTTGTTTCACAATAGCCCTCATTTAGCTAGCCGATGTAGTTTCCCTAAATGCGGGGCCCCAAAACGGTACCCCTAACTTTGAGAACCCTAAGGAACCCCCATGTTGGTTTATGCTTCGCTGAACCCATATCCCAAACCGTAAGCTTTATAACCCTGAATCTTAAACTAAACCTGAGTAGGATTTTATATGGGAATACTATGGTACCCTATATAGCCTTTTTGGGTATAGTCTTTTATATAAGGAATATTATCTTAAAAGGTTCAACCACCCAAAAAAAACACTACTCACCTTAAGCCCTAGACCCAGGTTCGGCAAGCTTTGGAGGTTGGGACCTTGGCTTCAGAACCCCGTGCTTAGGATTTAGTGGCTTGAACACCCTACTTGGAAGTTCCGGGGAACTTTGTAAGAAGCCTGTTTTCTTTAATGTTTAAGTTTTAGGGTCGCAGGGACCTAGAAAGTATCTATGAAAGGTGGTAGGGATAATAGCTGTTATTCCAGTGCTCATAGGTGTTGTTGAGATGTACTCACTACGTCCCCCTGACCCCGAAACTCTAAACTCTGAGTACCAGGCCCCCTTGACCCTTCGAGTAGCCGTTTGGTGCGATAAAACCCTAACCCCTGAGCCCTAAACCTGGCAAGCCCAACACCAAGGCCCGGGCGTTACAATGTAAAAGGATCAGGGTTTAGGGTTTAGGGTTTACAGGAGTTATGTTTTAGGGGTTAGGGTTTAGGGATCAGGGTTTAGGGTTTAGGGTTTACAGGAGTTAGGGATCAGGGTTTAGGGTTTACAGGAGTTATGGTTTAGGGTTTCGGGTGTGTAGGAAGTATGGTTCACGGATTATGGTTTAGGGTTTCGGGTTTAGGGTTTACGGATGTGACGACGCCATGTAAACGAGCATCATCCCCTGATAACAGATGCCTCCAGGGACTCCAGTATAGTACCATTCTTTTCCCCAGTATGGCACAGCTATACTCTCAAATGGTATTTTTCCACAATAGGGGGACCCCAATATAGCCCCCAATCTACTATAATCCTTATTTCAGGGAGCCCCAAATTGGCAACCATAATTTAAGGAAAGTATCAAATATAGCCCGAAACGCAACTAAACAACCATATATAGATAGATATATATATATATGAGACTGAGAATTATACGAAGACGCTTCTTCACAAGAATCGTCAGGTGGCGGTGAGCAAAGCCGAATGTGAGGCAAAGCTCTTACGAGAGGAGGCGTGGCAGTTTGAAATTGGGTTTGCCAGGTGGCATTTTAGGATAATATCAGTTTCCCGTCTTGTGGTATAAAGGAACCTATTTGTAAATTACCTTGGGGGACCCCAAACCCTAAACCCTCCACCCAGTTGAGAATGGTTAGGCCTCATGGGGTGTATGGCTGGGACTTGAAGGCTTAGGATCCAAAACTTTAGAGTCAAGCTTTGGGGTTCCGGAGAAAATTCTAGAGTTACATGAGTAGGGTCAAGGATCTAAGGTTTGAAGCTGAGGCTTCAGGTGGAATATGTGGGCTCTAGGGGGTGAGGCTTTAATAGGGACTATCATGATCCCCTTTGAATCCGGATAAGTAAGTAGGGTCTAAGGGCCCCCCTTTGTGGAAACTCCCATGCGCTCCTGATATAAATTTAGATTAAACCCAAAACGTACCCCTAAAAGCGCAACCCTGTATAGAACCCTAGAAAGACGGTAAAATAAAACCTGAGTAAGACCTACCATAAACCCTACATAACGCTATGTAACCACCAACCCTAAGCCCTAAACCCTAAACCCTAAGCCCTGAAGCAGGTCCAGTGGCTGCAA